CATACATCATTTGAATAGAAAAGAAACAGTAACTGTAAAGGGTAGGAAGGCATTTTCAATTAGTGTACTTGAGATGCCTCAATTGAGAAACTTTGATACTAAATCCCCAGTGTTTCTAATCATTTCTATTTTAATGTTTTATTACTAGGTTTCAACGTAGAAATCTTGAAATGCTTGCCAAGGCACTGTCTTCCCTTCCTTGTGTACCTGAAGAGCTTTCTGCATACCACAGGAGGAATTCCTTCTGTTGCTGAAACAGTCCTGGTGAAGGGCTTCTTCAAGACATTAAACCCATGCAAACCTCAGGGAAAGAAAAGCATTTGCCCATTTCATACCTGTTTTGAAATTACTTTCTTCATTCTACATAAAGTCACAGCCTAAGAGACTTTGTAAGAAAAGGAAGTCTTTTTATGGGTTGCTGGAAGCTGTACTTTTCATGGGGAATTGACTGAAGATCTTGCATTTTAAAAAAAATGCCAGCTACTGGCATTCAAAAGTATTTCTCTTACTGGAGGTGTCTGGATTAAATATTGTTGTGTTTTTTGTTTGTTTGTTGTTGGTTTTGGTTGTTTGCTATAAATATTCATATTAGGGAAAAAATTTTTTTTAGATTTTTGAGTGTTCTTCACCTAAGACTGAACTTCCAGCTTACACCACCATCACATGCAGTGGAGCTTCAGTTAAAATTTAGAGACTGAGTCAATTCCCATCACCGGTAACCAGCCAGCTAAAAGACTACAGTGCAGCAGAATGAAACGGGTTGTTTTCTTTCTCATTGTTCCCTTGGCTGGCTTTGATCATACACTTTGTTAGTCTAAGAAAAGAAGCACACAAACAGTAAGTGCTACTCTTTTGCTTTGCTTCGTTTTTCACTGAAGAAAGAAGTTGTATTCTGAACCTCAGCCAGTTAAACCAAGCAAAATCTTAAGGACTTGACACATTGTAATTTTCAGATTTCAATCACAAACTCCCCATAATTTTCCATCCAGATGCAAATTTATGAGTAAACTATGATTAAAAAAAATAAAATGGAAAAAGAAAAAAAAAAAAAACGCTCAAATTAGCTTTTCAGTAAGTCTTTTTCCTCCTTGCAAATTCACAATGAATGATTACTACAGTACTCATCATTTCTAAATCATTTCTACAGGAAAAAAAAAAAAAAAAGGAATTGAAGCTGACAAATCCAGACACAGTGACACTCCGTGTCCTGGTTTGCACCATGGCATTACGTTTCTTACTTTCCGTCCTTCATTTCTAACCAATACCTTACAGTTGGTAAATAGCTGACTCATCTAACGTGCACTTTTTTGTTTCCAGTTGGCTGTGGCAGGGTTTCTTGAGGACGAGGGTAACTATGTAGAAGCTGAATATATTCTTGCACAAGTTGAGAGTATGGTTTTACATTCGTAAAGAAATTACGTTCTCAGCTTCAATAACATCAGAAAGTAAATGCAATTACTAACCCTAATAGCAGTTAGCAACCAGGCTTAAAGAAATCCTTCTGCATAAAAGTAAATCACATACATGTTCCAAGTATTGTGTGTATATATAATTATGAGCATATATAGTGAGATTTCACTGTCCTGCAGCCAGTGCACATGCAGCCACAGCACTGCGGAAACTCAGCCGTGCTGGGGGCTGCACAGTTGCTCAGAAGTGGTTTTGGGGAACAATGCACGCCCACACAGCCTGAGCCTCTGACCACAATTTACTGCCATGAGGGCTACACTACCTCCCAGATGCTGCCCCTCCAGAAAGACACAGCAGTTTCGATCAGAAAGGACCTACTTCAAGAGCTCTGGTAAAGGAAAACGACTGCTGGGAGACCTTAGGCTACCAGCTGGCTTGCTCTTCCTCTGGCAAGAGTGGTGCTGCCGCTCTTGCTTCTTACCAAAGGGCTGGAGGCTACAACATTTCTCAGGCAATAGGAAATGGGTTTCAGTGCTTTTCAGCCTGAGGGCAGTAAAAACAGTGCAGCCTCAGGTGAGCTGAGGTCCTGCACCTATATTGATGCTGCGCCATGCCAGGGGATAGCAGGTGGCTTGTACCCAGACCTTACGGATGGCCTTTGCCATGTTTCATGTGTCACCTTGCTCTCCTGGCTGAGCTCAGTGCAGCTCCTACCTTAGGCAGGCCCAGGCAGACCTCCTGGATCAGGGCTCCCTGAAGCCATAATTATAGGGTGACCCAGAGTCAAGGCAGTTGTCATACAAAGGTAACCTCATGGTGAGTAAGGCATTTACCTGCCCTAGGTGATCTGTATGAAACCATGGTCTGTCTAATATTGAAAAAGTCTAAGAGGGACAAACAAAGTCTTAGACTCTTCTTCAGTTATATTCGCTCCGCTTAAACCCTTTCCCTCCCTAGAGTCTTATTTTCTCTTAATTTCAGCGCAAGAGGTGTTGTGAGCCTTGTAATGCCCTACAGCATCTGTGATATTTGCTTGGAGAATGCAACCAGACTGTTGTTAAACTTGGCTCTTTAGGGAAGAACCATCAAAACAGGAGGGGAAGGTAGGTATTCCCCAAAAGTTCTGCTAGGAGTTTACCATTCCTGTTGTTTTCTGAATGTTCTCTTAAACTTTAGAAAAAGACATTAATAAGTCAATCAAACAATTGTCTACAGAAACTCTCTATGAAATAGTTGCATCCAGTACTGAGATAAATTGCATACATATGCTCAGATGCAGCAGGATTGTAAGTAAACTGTTTGCTGGGTGGTTGCTGTAATAATCCTTTCTGGTCAGCAGCACTTGATTGATGATTACTGTATGGAAAGTTTTCACAGAATTTCCAGTTAGTTAAGCATCTTACAGGTAGGATGCTAAGATTCAAATACCCAGGGTTTGACGACTGCAATGGTGATGACAAAGCAGGTATTGATTTGAGAGGGAGCATTTACAACCTAGCAGAGTTCTAGGAATTACAGTATTTCAGAAGCCAGACCCAAATATAAAGTTTGTTTTCTTTGTGGTACTTACCAGAGGTTGGAAATGTTTTCAAACAAATTATGAAACAATGATTTGTTTTTCACAGTTGTTGATATACCAGCACATAAATTAGGAACATCACAATCTCTTGAAGACAAGATTAATCCTTGAGGTATTTTACTGACCTTTACATTACCTGCCTTCTCTTTCATTACGTGAACTGGGAGGCCAACAAAATCTTTTTATGTTAGAGCAATTGTTTAACAGGAAATTGACCAACAATGTCTAAAAAGGAAAAAAGAAAAAAAAAAAGGAAAAATAAAACTTATTTAGGTTTTCTTCACTTTGGGAAGTTCTCTCCAAAGTTAGTCAGCTCTTTCCCAGGTTTCTAATTACATTTTTTATTATTTTTTTTTTTAAATACACCTGCTAGGTCTGAGGGTTCCAGTACCAGGAAAAACTGCCCAGCAGTTTAGTCTCTGCCTCAGACAGAGGAAGAAACCCCCTTTTGGGGAGCAGTCCAAACCACAGCTCAGCTGCATTAAGTAATTTTAGGTTGCTCCTATAATAAAAACTGTTATACGCCTATTGGAGACTGATGGAGCTGCTAGTGTGCATTCACAAAGTCCTGTGGAAATGCTCTCCTCATCAAAAGTTTGCATTGACTTTGGTAACATTAGATACATCTAATACATTAGATGCAACATCAGGGTCAGAATGTAGCTCTCCCAAGTGGCTTCAGGATGACAGAGTACCTGGTGATCACTAGGATCAGCTTAATATTGCAAAGGCAAGGGGATTGGAAGATCTGGTTATCTGGTCAGGTTTCCTCACAAAGCAAGACCTCCTCCTCTTACACTGGTATACTGTAAATTACTGGGGAATTGCTGGGAAGGATGACAGCGTTTTGTCACAGTTGTGATTAAAAGACTGAATCCTTAGGGCCCCTTTAAATTGCCTCTCCTGTTGCCCTAATTCAAGTAGAATTTCATTGTTTTCAATGCGTGGGAGGATTCAGGTGGAAATGCCAGCAAGTTTCTGTTCTGTCCCAGAGAGGTATGCAAACAGGCAGCAAAAGTGAACTTTTAGAGAAATGCTTTTAGTGCCTATTCGTGTCTGCTGGTTTTCATAGGTTCCTAAGGAAGCAAGAGAACTCTTCTATAAAGTCATTGATGTGCTGTGCGGCGGAGCAATGCTCGACCCTTTTGATCTCTGATATTAGGGATAATGAATGTGTAGGCACCTTCAGCTTCCTCGGCATTGCCAGGCAACCCAGGGGATCCTGCTCCACAGCAGACTGCAGGACTGGTGTGACTGCTGCTCATCCCATTCACACGGTGATAAGTAGCACGCTGTGATTGTCTCAAGCATAAACTGGAGGCAGGCAGGATTTTTAAAACTGCTGGAAGAATTTGAGTAGAAAGCAAAGGTGCTTCATTTGCAATCGTAACATTATTAAAGGAGGGGAATAGATAAGAAACACCTCACTTCAAACTTTTTTTTCTTGGATGCTGAAACTTCCTTTGGTAGTTATTCTGGTAATCTTAACTTTATTGCTTATGAAAGTCTTTTATTGTTCTAATAGGAAATTTCAGTGACTGTGCTATCCTTGCAAAGCTAGGGAAGTTACAGTTGTGCTTTCTCCCTCTTGAAAGAGGCTGTACTTCATTTATGCAGGGCACCACCACACCAACAGGTTAATGCTATGCACCTGAAGCCTTTCTGTACTCTAACAGCTAGTTCCTTGCTAAGAACTCAAACATGGGTTTGAAAAGGCACTTACTATTTCTACACATAAAAGCTTTCTAAAAACCTTAAGAGGAAACTTCACCCCAAACTGACTTTTTACCTTAACTACACTTTCCTTCACAGGTATAACTGTGCTTCTCAAAATGCTGTTAAGACACATTATGAAGGAAAGTCTTTAATTTTATACAGATGTCTTGAACAGCAATATGTCATAATTGCAAGTGAATTGCATGCAGTCTTCCTTGGACTTTTGCATGTCCTGTTGGAGGAATATATGATTGTGCTTAATGCTAGTGTTTTCTTGAGGCATGTGATGGTTCCCTCTTTCCTCTGCCACCTTGTCTGCTGTCAGCGGGGCTTCAAGCCACCCAAGTTCCCCCATGAGAAAAAGAGAGCTGGGCTCTGGCTGCACAGCTCCGGAGTGCTGTGGGAACAAAGAGGCAGGCCTGCTGGCAGGGAGGGTGGGAAGGCAGCCAGCACAGGCAGGAGAAGGGCAAGAAGGTGGGGGAAGGGGCACGGGCAGCGAGGGAAAGGAGAGCAAAGAGAGGGAAAGCCTGGTAGGAGAAACTCCTTTGTTCAGAGGGAAGAACAAAGGGGATGGGGAGAAGATGGAAGTGGCGTACCTTTCAGCTTAGAAGAAATTCAGTACTCATATCCACTCCCAGTCTGCAGCCACGAAGGGATAACATAGATACACAGAGAGGACTGATTAACGTATGCAAAGAAATAAGCTTCTTTTTTTCTTGGTTGTGTCAAATAAAATTTACTCTTTTTTTTTTTTCCCTTTTTTTTTTTTTTTTGCCACTTAATTCATTTTGGAAAAAAACAACCAGTTATGAAAATGTACATCTGAAAATCTAGTGTGGTAATGGTAGAGGACTTGGTACTGACTTGGATTGATCTCATCACATTGATCCAAATGTATGTTTTTTTAGCAGTTTACAAGTACTGGTTTCTCTTAGACAAGGCTGACTGCTGCAAAGAAAACTAACCTCATCCTTGGCAATCTGAGTTGCTTGTAAAACTAAAGCTTAGATCTGTGATGTTTCCTTCTCTACTTCTCCTGAGGTACAAGAGATTTATCAGGAAGAAGCCTGCTTTAATGTCAAAGCTCTTATACTGTTAGTAACTGCTTTGGTTTAGGTTAAAAACTTGTGGAAACCAGAAATGCTAAATGTTCACAGGAAATAAATATCTTTAGTTGTGAGGAAGAACATATAAAATATCAAGAACATACTTCCCTTTTCTGAGTTAGCTAATATTAATCCTTTACTGTAGGATTGAATGTTTTCCTCCTAGCAATATTACCACAGAGTAGTCAGCATTTCAATGTAATCTGCACTACAATGCCCTATGTTAATGCAGACAGATACTTCAAAAACAGAACAACATGTTAATGGTCCCTCCCATATAACTCTTCGGCCTAACAATTAGTAGCCACTTTTATTAGCAGTTAAGTGCAGAAATATACCATTTAAAAATGTTACAACCTTTGTTCTTGATTTTAGGTGACTTCAACAAAATGTGTCTCTACTAATCCCTTTTGAAATCTTGCATGTCTGTTGTAAACAGCATTTTTTTCTCCCAGCTTGTCACCTATAAGGCAAAGAAACAAGGCACCTTATTTTAGTAAAACTGCTGCTTTCTTTTCAAGGTTTATTTTAAGATACGAGTAAAGGCTGCAAAGTTTCTTTACGGCATGGATGTTGTTTTGTCAGTTATCTGTACTTGAAACACCGATAATGGTAGTTGGAAATAAATTTTATCTTGATGTGATTGGGTTTAAACTCTGAATTTTCAGTTTAAAAATTGGATTAAACTCTTCAATTCATTGATCAATCCTGGAAAAAAAAAGGGCTCAAAAGAGAGCACTACGTATCAACTTCAGCAAGATTCTTCCTATGACTCATTTATCAAAATAACCAAACTTTTGCAAAGAGCACTGGCCAATCCTATTTTTGTTGTTTTGTGAAGTGTCATCACTGACTTCACCTTTGAAATATTTACCATTTTAATTTCTTCTGTTTAAAGACATGTTATTTGTATTGTGTTCTGTAGAAGATATACAAAATCAGCAGCCATTTCTGGAAGTAAGAAATTATAATCAATGGTAAATATGCTCCAAAGTCTTACTCACTTAGCTGTATCCAGTAACATGGTTTTGTAATACCTGCTGTAGGGCTTCTCTTCCAACAGTTTGAGGGGCTGGAGAGGGGTGGGGAGGGGCAGGGGAACAAGGAGGGGAGCAAAACTTGCTGGCACTTTGACTTCATCCATATTTAAACAAACTGAAAGTTGGCCAATTAGTTCTCAGGGATCAAGAAGGCAGCCTATGTATGTATATAAAAAATATGGGCAGGGGTTGAGGTACCTATATAAATCTTACAGGTTTACACATTTCCTTCTTGGTTTTGTTACAACTCCTAGCTCTCAGTGAATATTTCCACTTGAAAACAATAATCATGATCCATCTATGAGTTTTTTTGTTTTGTTTTGTTTTTTTCCCTTCTCTGACCCTTTTTGATGTTGTTTTTTTTAAGTGTTCTTATCTCTTTCTTTGGAAGAGCCCTGTTCTCTCACACGGCTGAGTAGTGTCTTGTCTATGCTACATGTATCTCTGATATATTTATTTCTATAAGCAGTTATTGACAGTATAAGATAGCCCACTCATTGTGAACTACAAAGTCTTTTGTAAAATGAAACCGCAAAGAGTTTTCTTCAACATACCAAGACTACAAGCAAACTTCTGAGTTCAAATAAGCTTATTATATTGTTTCATTGGAAGCTTAATTTATTTTTTCATGTTTGATTTTTTTGCTTGTACGTAGTAGTACATGGAAGATCTTAAACTGAAAAACATCTGCAACTTAGTTGCATCACAGAATCAAGTAACTTTCTCGTTTTGTGATTTTCAGTACTTTAAGTGCGTTAGCTCAAATTGAGAAATTCTTGTTTCATTATACCAGTATAAGCTTTCAGTTGCAGTAATACCAACCACTCTGAAAAGTTAATTTGCAAGATTGTTACAGAAAAGGAAGATAAAAGAGCAGCAAAAATTCTTATCTTCATGCAAAGCCAGGATGATCACTAATACTGAGACTTCTAAGTATTTATATTGTCTGTACCTGATGTAGCTTTTAGAGAATATTTTAAAAGACCATTTCTAGCTTCCACATACTTTTCCAGTTTGGGAGATTTCTTCTTTAGCAGTGTAATTTGTAACTCTTGATTTAGCTTCCTGAAGTTAAAAAACAAACACAAGTTCACCATTGTATTGGAGAGTTAAGTCATGTACATTAATAGAATTAGTCCTGAACAAGAGATTTATCATTATCATCATTTTTTAGTTATAGTAGCTTCTTAAAAATACTTCAGTATTTTGCTACTTATTTAAGTAGGGAGAAAAATGACGTATTTGCAGAAGTAAGCATTTTCATAGAACTCAATTAATTTGAACTGGAAAATAGATTTTAAATCTGTTTTTAAGTCAAATCTGAGTCCTAATATTTCCATTTATTAAATCAGTCTAAATGTCTGGAGCCAAGTACAACACGTGCCCTGCTTGTGAGCCAGATTCCACAAGGATGGGAGCTCATTCCCAGGGGGGCTCCCTGGGAATGAGCTGGACTGTGTATTTGCATAGATGCCAGGATTGCTCCCCTCTGGTGATGCTCTGGAGATTTCACGAATAGGTGCAGCATGGGAGGGTGGTTTGTTGTGGGCATCTGGCAGAGGTATTCTCTAGTAAGTGAGTTACTGTTCTGATAAATCAGAGGGGCACGGTAAGAATAAAGATTAATACCAAACTGACCCAGAACACTTTGTGTCATTCCAGTAAGCTGAAATAGCACATTTTGAGCTAAGAACATCACTGTTTTCATTGAGGGCTTCTTAAATCAAAATACATCTTTGCTATTGCCAGAACAAGTCACGGGGAGATTGCACAAATTTTGAAACATTTTCTCCTTTCTGAACAAAGGCAAAATATTATAGAACTCTTTTTGGTCCTTCCAAAGGGAGCAACCTCATTTTTAATCAGACCTAATTCTAAGCAGACACCTAACACTATCTTTGAAGGAAAAGGTATTAATTCAGTTTGGGTGAGATTATACACAGAAAATACAGCTGGGGACTCTGTGTTGCTGTGTTTGGACCAGAGTGCAAGGTCAAACCCAAATCTCTTCTCATTTAATCAGAAATTACACAAAGCCTCCAAACTTGGTACAACAAACTGATGCTCCCAGATTTATGGAACTGAAGGTGATGATGTAGAATAAATGAGAACCAACATACCAGCACTGGATTCTTCAGGGCTACCTCTTCAAGAGTTAGAGGCACAGCATCATTTCATATGAAATTAATGCACTGGATTTCTGATGCTCTGGACTGCAAGATACACCAAAAACTATTCTTAAAAATCTTACTATAAACAATGAATTTAATGGACCTAATTTTAATGTCCACTCTATAGTGCTATGTGTACAAAACAATGATATTAGATATCTATTTTCTAATATAACTTATTTCTGTCTCTTCATTTAACTAGCACATTTCTTTACATTAGTACAATATCACACATTCTCTCCCTCAACTGAAGCTACTAGTAAAATGTTACTTCAGAATAACTAAACAAATTTATCTAAAAAGGAGCTGTGAAAATCGTATTTGTATGCATTTCTGCATTCAAAGAAACTCAAAACCAGTTTCTTTATGGGTACCAAAGTTGGCACAAATGGCACACATCACTGGAAGGTAAATATGTGCTTTACTCTGTTTGAAGAAATCTGGCTTCAAAATAACAAAGTTATGGACTTTTCAAAACATGCATCCTGGTTTGCACAGCAGGTTTTTCTCAACTTCAGAAGCAAACACCAGGATGTGATGTTCTGAATATTCACTTTCAGTATATCTGAAAGCTCACACCTACTTGTATTTGAATGTGTGATTACTTTAAGAACTACATTGTTCGTAATCACAGTTACAAAAAGGTGTTTGGAGATCTTATTATTTATAATAAATCTGGTTTCTGCTGTCAGTCTGCATGAGAGAACATAGGCATTTTACTCGGAAGAACTATTATTACTCCTGTAGAAATAAACTTTAGATAGAACTTCCTGCAAGAATGACTGTGGTCTAGAAAATGGGCTGATTCAAATCATTATGCAGAGAAAATGTACTCACGTTTCAGTAGCTCTGTTATTCTCATTTCTCAACTCATCAAAAACTTTGCACACTTTGCAAGGAAGACTTCTTGCAATGCTGTCCCAGCTGCTTCCTTCTGGATAAAACTGGAAAAATGTTTTCCTCTGTCTGTCTCTCAGTGGCACCAGGTCATTTCTATTCTCTTGGAAATAAATAATTCACCTTGGGACAGCAGAAACACATAATTGTTTTAGATAATGAAAAACATTGCTGCACTTCCACAAGAGAAGGATATTGCATATGGCTAAAAAAACATCAAATAACAATTAACAATGTACTCAGAATTGAATGCATCATTACCTCCAGCGTTGGATAACATCTATTAGTTAACTAGAGCTATCCACCACCTGTGAGCCTAGGTACTGGTTTTACACTGGAATTTTTGAATGAAGAAATACATTTCTGACAGTTACTATGGTGAGATTCATGCCTAACTCAGAATTGATTCCTCGTGAGTAACAGGGTGGGTAAGTGAGAAGACTGCAGAGGGACTTGCCCAGCATAAATGTTCTGCTGCAATGCCTGTCCTTCCCCAGAAACTACAGGAGATGAGACACTTAATGCAGATACTTAAAAACAGGTAAGGTAATTCCTATCTAAATTAACCACTGTTCTGAGTGGGTTTACTTTAATAGAGTGACACTTGGAGCTAATACCTATACATTGCTTATTAAGCACACAACATAAAAGAAGTAATCAGAGGAAACATGCAGGAGAAGCTTGTGAAAGACCAGTGTTTAAGGGCTTTGGTTTTTAAAGCCATACATCCATGAACTCAGCAAGGATGTCCCATAATCTGAGATTACCAGAAGCAAGTCTTGGGTTTTGCTGGTTTTGATACTTTTCAGTGAAATTATATCTAACAGAGAGAAATATGTATTTAGTTATAAATTGATTTTCTTTTATTGCTTAAAATAATGGTTCCTATTTTAATCAAATGTCTATCATTTATATAGGAGAAAAAAAAAAAAAAAAGATGTTCATTTTGAACAAAATAGGTCTTTACTCTCAGATTTTCCCTTTGGTTTTTATGCATTTCGTTAGTAGTAAATAATCAGCATTTCCTTTTGTGGTAAACCATACAAATCAGAGCTTACTCCTGGTCTTACTACAGTTATAGATTCATATATGCAAGCTGGTGTTCTCTTTGGAAATTAAGCCTTACTTTAAGTTTATTATTTTTTCAAAGGCACAGCACCCACAGCTTGTATCTTGCTACCCGGGATCCTGATAGCATTTGCTTGGAAGGCTTATCTCTGCACATTAGATATCAGGAGATATAAATCCCCAGCTTTAAAGCCTACAAGATCTTAAAAAAAAAAAAAAAAAAAAAAAAAAAAAAAAAGCAGTCTGATTTTTTTTTTTTTTTTTCTGGTTAATACTTGAGAATACAATATTTCTATGTAGGGTAACAAAACCAAAAAATTTACATCCAAGAACTGTATAAAATGTATTACTTTGTGCTTTTGGTGGATTTCATTTAATTTTTATCTGCAAAAAGGAGACAAGGATAACACCATTGAATAGTGGCACAATCTCCTGATTTGGCCATAGTTACAATGTAGAGAACAGTACTCATGCAGAACAGGGAGCTGCTGAAAAGAGATGTGAACTCCTGCCCCTCCAGTGTTCTGTGCAGATATACCAGAAGCGCAATTTTTCAAAGAATCTTTTAAAATAAACCTTCTGGTTAGTTTTAGTTCTCAAGTGCCAGAGGACATTCAGGCTGCAGTCCTCACCTGCCCCCAAACTGCCACTCAGTATTACCAGATTTCTGCTGTGTCAGTCCTGAGCTCAACATTATGGCAATTATACCAAACTGCACAACAGATTAAAAGGATTAATTCCTGTGTGCAAACAATCTGCTTCTGATATCTAGCACCCATCTGTCTGTCTGCTACAAGCTTTCACTATGAAGCAACTTGTTTTAGTTGCCCCCACACACATATTTGCATGTGTCTCTTGTCCCCCAGCCTAAAGCAATACTTGGGAAAAGTTCTATAGTTCTTATGTCACCTTGTAAACCCTCCATTAAAAAAACAAAACATAGAAGAAAACTCATCATTTGATTACTAACCAGATTGCGGACACTGACATGGAAATTATTTTCAACAGCTGCAAACTGGTTGTTTCGCTCCAGCCACCTGTTCCAAATGAAATATATTTGGAGAATAACAATAAAGTTCATCAGTCTTCAAAATATAAAGAAGGCGCTATCACTATTGCCAAATCACTGTCCATTATGCAGTACAGCATCCCTGGGATCTGACTGTGGAACTATCCTGAAAAACTGCACCTCTGCACACACTGCCAGGAATGGTTCTCTATCAGTGTTACAAGTGGTCTGCTGCATTTCTGGAGGACTGGGACTCTTGTACCATGAAACCAAATCCTTCAACAGAGCTCAAGTATGGAAACAGTTCCCCCTCTCCCCCTTCAGGGAATAATACAACAATCAGGTATAAATTTTAAATAACTTAGATTCCTAAAGTGGCTCATCATCTTAAGGAGACAACAGTACTGTCAGGAAAGCCATTTGTATTTTTAGGTGTTTGTTAGAAGTTTTAGAAAGGTGTTTGCCAGGAGGTCCATCAACTTCCTAATTACGAGTCTGGTTCCATGAGGAGAAGACTGTTTTAGTCACAATAAATGCAGGTTATCACTTGGATCCTCCAAGTTCACGGTCCCAGATCAATATGCATTACATTTCTATTGTATTGCTCTGGTAATTGAAAAAAGGACTTTGAGATGGGAATACAATGATCTAATCAATATAACTGGGATTTTCTTTAAGTGTTAATGCGGTCTTCTCTCTCTCTAAGACATCTGAGTCAAACAGAAACATCTTCATTCATGCAACACAGAACATGAAACAGCAAATTTACAACACTGCTTTGCTAAAAATTGTTGTCATATGTAGGAAAATAAAGCTGAAGTTTAATCAGCTTTTTATGTACATACTGGTTTGTCTCTTTCTTCTGTTGAGTACATGGTTAACATGGGAGCAGTACAGTCAGCTTATTTAATGACCAGAGGTTTGTGAATTTATTTTTTTCCATCATTTGGGTATTCACTGATTAACAACCATGAATACAACCTTGCCATCATTTTTTCAAATTGAAAAACCACAAGAAATGCTTGCAAACAAGTGTTAGTATGACGTCCTCTAAAATTTGATACTCTGGCCAAATCATCGAGTTTTTAACTTTGCTTTCATATATGAATTCAGTTGCTTTCTTGTCTCCTGAAGGAAACATATCTAGTAAAAAAAAAAAAAAAAAAAAAAAAAAAAAACATAAAAAATCTGTTTTGTTTCTAATGAGTCATTACATGACTTGAGGACTAACTGTAACCTAAGGCCACAGGAGTTAGACTTTGGAGGACTTCAGGAATCTTAACACAGGATCCATTTTTAATATGTAATTAGCTGATGTTAACACAGCACCTTCTGTTCTGTCTTCCACTAGAGCAAGCCTAATGCAACTGGCAGAATCGTGTAGTAACACAAGCAGAACTGAACCCAGACCACATGCTTGGGGGGCTGCTCAGCAGTACAGTAAAGGCAACTGATTACAGTATCATTTGCAATAATATTTGTGTCCTGCAGGTAGTGGTAGGCAAGAGGTGATACTGAATAAAACTATTGGATTGGAATAGCAAATTAAATCAGACACAATAATGTATCCTGATGTCATCTTTGGGAATAATCGATAAAAACAATAGGTTGGTGTAACCAAAATAATGTTGAAGAACTGACTTGACATACTACAGCTCTGACCCTTCAGTAAGCCTGCACCTACCAGGAGTCTTAAAGGCTTCAGTGACTTGTTTATGCAGAATTCCTTGCAAAGCCTGATAAAAATAAGCCTTTGCTACAAAGAGCAACAGAGAGGGAAAGTGCTGCTTAGCTTTCGTCTGGTACCTGTATCTTCAGGACTGTTTAAAGTTGCATTCCATACGTAACATAGCATAACCACATGTAGCACCTACAGATTTAAATATACACAGAACTAGTTCCATGAACAATTGTACAGACTTCGATATGACTGCTCATAGGTACAGCATCTTTGCATGAGTGAGATTTAAATAGAAAATGCTCCCACATCTGCTTACTGAAATATTTCTCCCTTCACCTTTGAATCCAAATTAAAACAATATTTGAAAGGGTTGCTAAAAGTCTTCCACTCTTGCCTAAATTATTTTACTTTTTGCAGTAACAGAGTGTGGCCATTGTTAGTAGAAACTCACACTTTTTCATAATTTTGTCCTTCAAGCATCTGAATAGACACCAAGGTGGGGACGATCAGGACTCGTGGGAAATATGGAGTTAATGTAACCCAGGCTTGCTGCCATGAATAGGAAATAGCTTAACCCTGCAGTCAATTTGCCTAATTGATTAGAAGCCTGATTGCATCCCTGAAGGGCTAGATGCCCTGAAGGGATATGCATGCACAGAGGCAGCAAGCTTACAAGGCAGCTTACCAGAAAGGGAACCTCCAGTGCTCCCAGAACACGGGCTGCAAAATCATTTTTCACTGACCGATTTGGGAACAGAGCTCATCTCTCTCCAGGGTGTTCCCAAGCACGAAACTAGCTTGTAGACTTGGAGAGGGAGACCACAAAAGAAATCTAAGTGCTACCTCCTACACATTGCTAACAAGCCCAGCTGGCACAGAAACCAGCCAGTGTGTGAGGACACTCAGCCCCCTGTGGTGAGGCTCTCCAGCAGAAGAAATGTTGTTTTGCCCACCCAAACATCCCCATCTGTAAACAGTAAACCACAGAGCACGGTTTAGTTCTTTAGTCTTTTCTTCTCTTTCATTTCTCAAGAGTAAACCAAAATGCTTTGAGTGACACAAATCCTAATGCTCGGCAAGCTTCCCCTTGAGTCTGAAACAACCCTAGTGGCTCTGTAGTTCCCTAATCAGCTTAGTAAAGTTGACTTGTGAAGCCCAGTGGCAGGAAGTAGTTTATAGTACAGTAACTCAGCCCATTGTCTGGGCTTTTTCAGCTTGGCTTCATTACTATTACCATGATAAAGACCAGCGTATTTTTTTTCTACTTCCCTTTTGCCCCTTCAAGTCTCTACTTGCTCTTGACTTTTCTGAATTTCACTTTGATAGTTTGACACCTTGGTTGTTCTCCCAGACAGATATAATTACAAGAGTTCAAATAAACTTTTTTTTTCTTTTTTTTTTTTTTTCCCCCAGTAGTGGTGTTTTTTCTGTTTTTGAGGGAATGAGTGTGCACGTTGGTAACAGAGATGAAGATTTGCCGAGAGAACTCACTTCCTCCTGAGTTTGGAGTGGCTCTTTGGGTCTTTTCTGCTATTCAGAGAGACAAGAAAGCTGCAGCTGTGGGACATAATCCAATATTTGGATTATCATAAAATAGGAAGAGTCTAAGTTAAGTGAGCCCAACAGGATAAGTAGGGATTGCAACCTGTCTACTGTGTTTCAGTGTGCAGTGGGCCGCCTTCATCTAATCAAATCTTGCAGCTCTTAACTTTAGGAAGAATTTGACAACGATTTAAATTTAAAGTGAAAGAAAACCTGTGTGAAGGCTCATTCAAAGTATCACACAGTGAAACAGCATGGTGGCTTACACTCTCCTTTCTATCTACTCATTCAGTGCTGATTTGAAAGAAAACCACTTTTTTTTTTTT